GGAGGAGGAGCATCACGGAACATCTCAACATCTTCTATATTTATTAGTGATGGGACTAAATCATTTCACTGCAAGCATCATTTGGTTCTTGAAGGAGGGAGGGCACAGAAGAACTTTCCCAACTTTCATACATGCCTAGAATCTTTCTTGGGCAGGAATGGGGAAGTGGTGGCTTTCTAGATATAAATTGGACTCCCAGCTCCCATCAGCCCCAGCCAGCATGGCCAATGGTCAGGGATGATGGGAGATACAAGTCCAAAAACAGCTTCCCCATCCCTGCTCTAGGGGAAGGTTTAGCTGGCATCCCATCTATTCAGGTATCCCTGTATACCTGAAGGAGCGTCTCCACCCCCATCGTTCAGCCCGGACACAGAGATCCAGTGCCGAGGGCCTTCTGGTGGTTCCCTCATTGCGAGAAGTGAGGCTACAGGGAACCAGACAGAGGGCCTTCTCGGTAGTGGCACCCGCCCTATGGAATGCCCTCCCATCAGATGTCAAAGAGATAAACAACTACCTGACATTCAAAAGACATCTTAAGGCAGCCCTGTTCAGGGAAGTTTTTAATATGTAACGCTGTATTGTTTTTAACACTTGATTGGGAGCCGCCCAGAGTGGCTGGGGAAACTCAGCCAGATGGGCGGGGTATAAATAATAAAATTATTATTATTATTATTATTATTATTATTATTATTATTATTATCTGCATCATTCTGACATTGCTCACACTGGCAAAATTGATCTCATCATCTTCTTTGAAACAATCTACCAAGTATGTTATGGTATGTTATAGTTCTAGCCTTTTGCTGTGGAGCCTCCTTATACTCCTTCTCTGTCTCTTATCAGATATACACTGGTACAGTGGTACCTCAGGTTACATTCGCTTCAGGTTACATTCGCTTCAGGTTATAGACTCCGCTAACCCAGAAATAGTGCTTCAGGTTAAGAACTTTGCTTCAGGATGAGAACAGAAATCGTGCTCCGGCAGCGCGGCAGCAGCGGGAGGCCCCATTAGCTAAAGTGGTGCTTCGGGTTAAGAACAGTTTCAGGTTGGGCTGAAGCCGCGGAAGCCATATCGAACGTTTGGCTTCCAAAAAATGTTCGCAAACCGGAACACTCACTTCCGGGTTTGTGGCGTTCGGGATCTGATTTGCTCGGGAGCCAAGCCTTTTGAGTACCAAGGTACCACTGTATATCGATCTATCCGCAAAGAAGCTGGAGGGGTGTGGGGGAGCTGCAAGGAGTGGAGGTTTCCCAGGGATGAAATTCCTGGCCCTTGGAATTCTCCCCAGGCAAAACCCTCCATGCTTTGCATCTTGAGCATTTTTGCCCGGCTCAAGTGCTCCTAGAATGCCTGTTGCTTGGCTGGAGGACAGGGGCTGCAAGAGTGTGAGTAGGAACTGCCTACTGTACAAAAGTGAAATTTTCAATTGTCGCTCTGCACGTTGTCTCTGCACCACCACCCAACCACCAGAATGTGGCTTCAGAAGGCTGCTCAGAAGAGAATGTGGCTCTCTAACTCAGAAAGGGTCCCCCACCCACCTCCGTTCCCCCCCTTGTTTCTTACTAAAAACAAAGGCCAGGATAGACGCCGTCATCACTTTGCTGAGCAAGGAGGAAAGGTGAAGGGAGGGTGTGGAGGGATGCTGAAAAAGAAGGCAAAACTCTTGCCCGTATTTCAACACGTGCAAAGTTCTCTGTGAGCGATCTCGAAACCTCGCTGCTTAGGTAAATAAAGACTTGTTCCTGTTTTTAGATGGGATTTTCCCAGAAGCACCAAAGGGGAGGGAGAAAGCAGCTGCTCTTCAGAACCAAACAAGAGGCTGCATGAGCCACAGGCCAAATCGCAAAAGGCTCAATATTTGCCAATTGCAGCCCGGGGTTATCTGGGGGCATCGAGAGTCACAAAGGCCAGGGATGGGGAGGAGATGTTTTCACCGCCTTCCTGCTTCCCACCCCAGCTACCCCTCAGCTCCTGAAGCAAGAAAACCATTAAAAAAAACAACCCACACATACAAAATCACCCGAGCCAGCAACTGTGAACTAGGAAGTCCTTTCGCAATGGAACTGTCACTTGTTGAGGACAGTCAACAAAATGACTGTCTAGCATCCCTTCAGCCCTCAGGAGCCTGCAGTCACGAGGCTTTGGCACAGATGAGGCCAGACTTCCTCCACATCAGCAACAAATTTAGACGGGGGGCGTGTCATTCCTCATTACAAGCTAAAGTAGGCAAGGCCCTCACCATCAGCTGATTATTTGAGCTTGCAAAGGGCGATGCATAGGGCTCAAAGAACTACAATTCACAGGGGGTTATGGTCTAAACCACTGAGCCTACGGCTTGCCGATCAGAAGGTCGGCAGTTTGAATCCCCGCAACGGGGTGAGCTCCCGTTGCTCGGTCCCAGCTCCTGCCAACCTAGCAGTTCAAAAGCACATCAAAGTGCAAGTAGATAAATAGGTACCACTCTGGTGGGAAGGCGAACAGCTTTTCCGTGCACTGCTCTGGTTTCGCCAGAAGCGGCTTAGTCATGCTGGCAACATATCCAGAAAACTGTCTGCGGACAAACGTCGGCTCCCTCGGCCAGTAAAGCGAGATGAGCGCCGCAACCCCAGAGTCGTTCGCGACTGGACTTAACTGTCAGGGGTCCGTTACCTTTTTATTCATTCATTTATATTTATTTCATGTATAACCCAACTTTCCTGCATGGAGCTCAGGCTAGTATGGAATTCCTTCCCCAATTTATCCTTCACAACAACGCTGTGAGGTAGTTTCAGCTGAGAGTGACTGACACAAAACTGGAAAGAAGAAGTCCCAGGAAAAGAAGAATGGATACAAAAACTTATGGGAAACGCAGAAATGGCAAAACTTACCGGAAAAAATAAGAAATCAAGATAACAAACTTTTTATAAAGGCATGGAAATGGTTTGTTGAATATTTACAGAGAAATTGTAAACAGGTAAGAAACTTGGCAGGATTATTGAAATAACCTGCAGTTTTATAAGAGTGTATGCTTAAAGTAGAGAATAAATGAGCAAATTAAGTTAATTTGAAATATGCAGAAAATATTAAAAATTAGTTTAAGGAACTGCAGAAAGAGGGGGAAAGGAAGTCGAGTTTTGAAATGTTAAAATGATTATAAAATTATTGAAATGTATAAAATTGAAAATCATTTAAGAAATAATAATAATAGAGAGATAGAGAATGACTGACCGAGGGCCACCTAGTGAGTTTTGTGGCTGAGCAGGGATTTCAACCCTGGTCTCCCAGGGTCCCAGTCCAGCACTCTACCCACTACCCCACACTGTTTCTCTGAATTCTCTGGGAAGAGGGATTGGCTGTTAAACTGCTCTGGGAAGAGGACAAGGGTCTTCTAACAACTCTCAGCACCCTTAACAAACTAGTTCACAGAATTCTTTAGCATGACTGCTAAAGTGGTATAAGGGCACTTTAAACGTATTCTGCAGACTGTCTTTTTCCTGCCCCACAACTTACATCCTATATATGACATCAAGCATAGGGCAGGTTGGCATGGCTTGGCCAGAACAACCTTGCAGGCCACCTACGGAGGCTTGGAGGACCTCATCTGACCAGGGGTTCCCCCCTCCCCACGGCTTTACATTGCGAAAATGCTGCCTCAAGAGTCAATCTGGAAGAACCAACAAGTCATTTGTCGTCAGGCAAATATTTCAGCCTCTTCTCAGGAACCCACAATTTCAGGGCACAGAACGAGCTTCCAACAAGCCCATCTCAGTGTAGGTTCATCACAAATCCATGGTGCAAAGGCAGAAGCCACTTCAGGTGGCAGCCAGGATTTGGGGTGAGCTTAATGGACAGCAGCAAGAGACAAGGCAAATATTGTAAACCTCACTGCGGTCTCTTGAGGCAGTATATAAATATTTTTTTTAAGAAAAATTCATCTGCCCCATGGGAAAATTCACCTGCAGGATCCCCACTGCCTCTACGATATAACCTGTAGAGTAGCAAAAGACTGGCTCATTCTTTTCATAAAATGAGTTTCCTAACAAAATAGGTACAGGTAGTGAGGCATCTGATCAAGGCCTGTATTTTAAAATGAGCTTAAAGATATATTTGCAAATGTTTGTATGTTTCATGCCAGGCATAAAGCAGCTGGCTAAGTACTTTGGCAGTTGTTTATCTTCCTGCTCTCCTGGAAAGGGCCCCCCTGATTTATAGCAGTAGCAGGAGACAAATTTCTCAAAGTTGTTGTAAAAGGGAATTACAGGCTGGGAGCAAAGGTTACACTGACCATACATATTACAGAATACAATCGAGCTGCAAAAACACTAATTAAGAGTTGGTAAATAGTAAGATTTATTGTTTAACAGAAAATAATACCATGTGCCTCCCATCAGACTCGAGCCATATTTTCCTAAGGTTAAAGGGCAAGAGCTAATGGGAAAAGCAGCTGGCTGGGAAAGGGGGGTGTAAATTGAAGAGGCTGCTTTTGAAGCTGTTTTTACTGAGTTCCTTTTCTTCTAAAAAGCTATCTATGTTATGTATGAAATTTATTGGCTTAATGTAATTATGCAAAGGATTTAGAAAGTAAGAAATGTTAGATTCTTATGTTAGATTCTTATTTCATTGATGGTGTGTGGGAATGTGAACCCAAGATCTCTGTTTAGATAGAATTTAAAACCATGAGCCATCCGTTTTAGCCATTTGTTTTGGAGTGCAGGGGCAAAAGGGCAAAAGGTGATCTGGTAATTAAGGTGCCTTGTTGAGGCAAATGTAAGATATATGGCTACTTGTCTGCCATTTATGGATAAAAGGAAATATAGCTCTTTGTCTCCCATAAAAGGTAATAGGAAGTGGGTGTATCTTTTATGATTGGTTCTAGCAAACAGCCAATAGGAATTTCAACCAGGCTGATTGGACAGAGGCAGCCAAAGGAGGAGCAAGGGGGCTGGGCTGAGGAAATATAAGTGCTGGCCATCAGGGCTGGAGGGAGGCAGAGTTTCTGGTAACCATATACCACTGTGCCTATCATTTTTTTGTCTGACAAATAAATTATTATTTTAATTTCTCTATTGCTGTGTTGAATATTTCATTCCAGCTAAGCGTTAACCACAAGCAGGGTGCTACAGTAGGATCCCCAACACTAAGCTGCAAAGTAGAATGCTCCTGCTTCAGGTTTCAGCCAGCCAGACATGCCCTCCTTCTGCCGTTCCATTCCCCCTCCCTCAAAATAGGCTTTTTGTCCCAACAATCTCTTACGGTAGTCCACAGCCACTGAGCATGCTCAGTCCTTTCTGGGTTGTCCCTCCCCACCTAGCCCTGCTTTTAGGGTTTTTGTCAAAAAGGAGTTTCTGCAGCCACAGAAACCTTGCCAGGTCCCAAGCTTTCTGACACACATCCTTTGTGTGCATGGATGACGCTGCAAAATGACAACACACGCTCACCTCTGAATTTAGGAAACAGAAGAAATGGTATTTGCATTGTGTATTTTACAGCAAGACCTCACAAGGCAGCTTACCAGAGGAAAATGAAAATCAGGGTGGTGGTTTTTTCAGTCAGAACTCACCAGAACTCAGTTCCGGCACCTCTCAGGTGGGTGCCATTGCCATTAAAAGAGAACAAGGGAGGCGTTCATGGTGAGTTCCGGCACTTCTTTTTCTAGAAAAATAGCACTGATTAAAATGCTATGATAAATCGTGTCCTCCCTTAAAGAGGGCACGTATTGCGGTGAGACCTGGACAACCGACACCCTGTGTTGTGGGGGGGGTACAATTGGTTAGCCACAACACCCGATTGGTAGGTCCCTCAAAGCTGGGTACAATCTGGCCAATGGGATGCAGTCTAAACGGTTCAAGGGACCTTTTTATGCCCATGCACACAACCCAGAGCTTCCTCTTTCGGCGCGTGCATTCAGAATACCTGCCCACCTCTCCCTACTTTAGGGCTTGTTGAACTTGAGCTTGCTATGCCGTCATATGTTGTCTGTCGTTGGGACAGGGACAGGGGCACGGCAGGAATTTTCTCCACTTGGCTGATTGGCTGGTGCCATTTGGGTTTCGCCTGCCGCGTAACAAATCGTCACAACTTGTAAGGTTGCGGATAGGCACTGGTTCAGGTGATAGGGATGGGCGAATGCTCTCGCCATCCCTATGTGAAGGGTATTCCGTTAAAGGAATCCAGGGACTCGATGGTTTGGTCAACCCCTGAGAGGGGGTTGTGCCCGTGCCTGAGTCCAGGGGGACATTTGGGTGGGGGAGTTAGCCTGTTCCCGGCTTTCCACTTATCCAGGTGTTCACGCTTGGCTGACCTATGATGGAAGCCTGGGTCAGCGCTACCTGCATGGCAGGGAACTAGTCGAACCAGAGCCTATGCAACCACTCACTTTCTTTAATCAATAAAGTTGTGGCCTAAATTCTGCCAAAAACCAAACCAAAATTTTGAGTCAAGTGTGAATTTATTTAGCGGGTAGGTCTCTGGGTCTGAACACGCAAAATAAATAATATGGTAAGAAGAATAGGGTGGGTGATTTGTGGTTTTCAACTTGATATATAACCAGTTAAAACACTGTGATATACTGATGAATCACAATGTCTGCAATAGGGATGGAACTATGTAGAGCCACGGTTCTTCCCACATTGTGATTTCTGCTTAGCACACAAACACGCATCGTGATTCGTGATATATTGCCAGGTCATGTCCTGAGTGCAAGAGCACACTCCCTACTGGTGTGGACCTATTACAGCTAGTGGCCATTGATTCCCTTCTCCCCTATTAATTTATCTAATTGTCCTTTACAGCCAATCCATTCAGGTTGGGGCCATCAATACATCTCTCAGGAGCAGCAGCATATAACAATTTATCCATGCATGCATGCAATTTATAGCCAACCTTTCCTCCCAAATGAGCCCAGGGTGGTGAATGCATGCAATAATCATCATCATCATCATTATTATTATTATTATTATTATTATCATCAACAACAACATTTTTTAAAAACTAAAAACTTATAAAGACTTATTTTATGCCTAGTGCTCTTGAGCCATCAAATGCCTGGGTAAATAAGAATGCTTTGAAATGTCTTCTTAAAGGAAATAATAAGACAGGCATACCTCACCGGAGGGGGCATTCAACCAACAGGGAACCACCACTGAGAAGGCCCTGTCTGGGGGTCAGTGCCAACCAGGAAGCCCCCAGTGGCAGCGCCACCAACAAGGCCTACCCCCTCCAATCGTAGAATCTAACATGGTTGAAATTGCAGAAGGTACTCTTTTAGGTATATGGGGGTAAGCGGTTTAAAAATCAATAAACAGCTGAGTGGGGTTTTTTCTTTAAAAAAAAGAGGGGTGAAAAAGTTCTAAGGGAAAGAGAATTCAACATGTGGGGCCAAGTCTTTTAGACCGCTGCACTGCTGGGGGTTGGACTAGATGACCTTTGTGGTCCCTTCCAACTCTACAATTCTATGATTTCTATGAAAAGCCCCTGTTTCTTATACGTGCTAGCTTATCAGCCTTAGTTGCCCTGGGCTGCTGCAGCCAACCTAGGACCCAAGTAGGTTCACAAAGGAAGTTATTGAGGGTGTGAGAACACTTAACAAGAGCAGCGAGACACCACAAGTTTCTGGGCAGATTGTGTCCCAAGTCTGTTTATTTTATTTATGAAAATACTTCTATATGACAATCTCATTAAAAACTATACACGTTTGCAACGACTGTACATACATGCCATAAAAACCACGTAAGAGCATCAGAGATCAGCAGCTGGCTATTACAGAAGAGGCTTTCCCAATTGTCTATGCAGGTTTGGCAGCATAGAGAAGTTTTCAGCAAACAAGGAAAAGTTAAAACAGAAGGCGCCCTGCTGAATCTCTGTCAAGTTTTCCACTGATGGCATTCAAGACTTGCACCTACTCAAAACAAGCACGCTCAGGTGCAGGCAATGTTTCTCTGATGTTTGCAAGACACTGCGGCTTGGTGGCACTTTCAAAATATTACAAGGCAGGCCACAGAAAGAGTCGGGATTACACAGGAAGGATGAGGAAGCCATTGAGGTAGAAAGCCATTTTGTAAAATAAAACGCCTCGCCCCCAGCCAGCCTTCTCAGACGTAAGTATCCAAAATAGGCTGATGTTAAACATTACAAATGAAGTTTCAATCTTTTTTCAGAAGGCCAGCCAGCCCAGCGACACTTGATGAACTATCTGGCACTCTTAAGCATGTTTACTGGGAAGTTCATGTCCTTCATTCTGTAGAATTTTCCTGGAAAATGATGCTTAGCATTGCAGGCATATATTGTGTCCACGAAAGAGTGTGTGTGTGTGTGTGTGAGAGAGAGAGAGAGAGAGAGAGAGAATTTTTTCTCGGCACTAAACCAGAATTTCAGGAAGCCGCAAAGTGGGTACATAATGTAACTATGATGCCATTCTGTCAATGCCAAACGCAAAGCCTGCGGCTGCTCAAAATTACAGCTGCCACACATCCAGACATCACCAGTACTTCAATGGCGTAACTGACATCTGGGGGAAAATTTCTGAAAAGCTTTGTCCTGAATCTCAGGCAAGTCAATCAAAAAGAAAACCTCAACAACTTTGGGAAAGCGCAACAATTTTGGGATGTCCTGGTTTTTATTTTTCGAAATATGGCAACCCTATGTCCAGATTCCACAGCAGTACAGTGGTACCTCAGGTTACATATGCTTCAGGTTACATACGCTTCAGGTTACAGACTCCGCTAACCCAGAAATATTACCTCGGGTTAAGAACTTTGCTTCAGGATGAGAACAGAAATCGTGCTCCAGCGGCGTGGCAGCAGCAGGAGGCCCTATTAGCTAAAGTGGTGTTTTAGGTTAAGAACAGTTTCAGGTTAAGAACGGACCTCTGGAACGAATTAAGTACTTAAACCGAGGTACCACTGTACTTCTAAGACAGACAGCCGACAAGGCAGGGAGGCAGAAAGCCAGCATCTGGGGTGCACAACAGCCCCTTCTTAAACACCGCCACATGAGTGAACCAGAGATAGGAACCTCAGGACCCAGGGACAAATGCGGCCTTCCATACCTCTCCATCTGGCCCTTGGAGGTCTCCCAAACCGCACACGCCTCTTCCGCAAGCCAAATCCTTTGCCCGCCCCACTTTGCACCCTCCTCAAGTTTCTTTGTCTGGCTGGAATGTGTCCTTGCACTCTGATCATGCTTTCTGCTTGCCTGGATAGAGAGGAGTATTTAAGTGTGGGCGAAAACCAGCCTTTAAGAAATGTACTCCAAAGCCACTCTGTAGTACTTTGGAAAAATTTCAAGCCTTTTTCATTCCTAGTATACAAAGTGGTTGTGCACGTGTAATGGCAGCTGAGCCCGTTTTTCTAATCAATCAGTGAAAAAAAAGGCACTCTTTTCATGGGGTTTTCCTCTAGAATGGATTATTTAAGGCACAGTTCTATTCTGCTTCTGTTCCTCCTAGTATTGGCAGTTGTGCAACAAACATACTGAAAATATTGTACGTGGATCTCAAACATGGCTTAGTTGCTCTACCCACATGCAAGGCAAAAGTCTGGATCCATTACTGTCATCACTGGGATTTTAATACCATATGGCTGAAACTTTGCACTACCAAAATCATCTCCCCCCAAAAAATCATTGGTTCTGGTGGTGTTCAGTTTTAAAGTTTGATTGTCACAACAGCAATATGACACAACTGATAGTTTTTTTAAAGGGGTGCAATTTAGCACTGCTGTGTTTGGGAAATCAGAACAACTCTGTTTGCATTTCCAAGAGCCAAAACTGGAAGTTTGTAAATGATGTTTAGGAATGGCTGTTCTACAATGAGGTTAGCATGAATAATCTATCAATCCTAATTTAAATGAACAGTTTAACAGACACAGTCCGTGTGTACAAAAAGTCATCTCAATGAGATTGATGATTGATGTAAACCATGCATTCAATCATAGAAAAAGCAGTGAGAAAGGATTTCATGGGAGGTTTTCAAGAGGCAGTTAGATGGCCATCTGTCGTGGATGCTTTAGTCAAGATGCCTGGATTGTAGGGGGTTGGAGTAGATGATCCATGGGGTCTCTTCCAACTTTAGGAGTCTATCTGCACATTATTCCAAGAGGTCACCTCCTATAGGAATTTGCAAAGATCAAATTCCGCAAACATGCCTAGATTTACATTGTGGTAGAGCATATGACTTTGCATATGCAAAAGGTCTCACAATTTATTCCTAGCATCTCCAAGCAGAATCAGAAAAGGCTCCTGTCTGAAACCCTGGAGTCAGTAGCCGCTGCCAGTTTTGATCTAGATTATGGGTAGGCAAACTAAGGCCCGGCAGCCGGATCCGGCCCAAGCGCCTTCTAAATCTGGCCCACAGACAGTCCGGGAATCAGTGTGTTTTTACATAAGTAGAATGTGTGCTTTTATTTAAAATGCACCTCTGGGCTATTTGTGGGGCATAGGAATTTGTTCATTCCCCCCCCCAAAAAAAATAGTCTGGCCCCCACAAGGTCTGAGGGACAGTGGACTGGCCCCCTGCTGAAAAAGGTTGCTGACCCCGATCTAAATGGACCAATGATCTGATCTGGCAGAAGATAGCTTCCTATAACCTGTGTGGTAAGCCTTTTATTGGACAAGTGACTCCATCCTGAGCACGAGAAAGGTTCAGAAGTTTGCCTCCTAGCTGCTGTTTGCTTGGGCCAGAATCTTCTGTCAAACATGGCCTTTGCCAGCCTAGTGCAGCCAAGATATTTTTCTTGGACTACAAATCCCATCAGCACCAGCCAAGGGTCAGGAATGATGGGTGATGTAATCCAGCAAGAGCCAGTTTGGAGGAGGCTGGTCTAACAGGTTGTATCAGAGGTGTTGAGAGAGCAGAATTTCCTGCATGTAGTAGGGAGGGGGGTCCAAAGTTCCCCGGGAAGAAAGACTGGTTGGTTAAACCACTCCAGGAATTGTAGCTCCGTGAAGGGACCAGGGGTCTCTTAACAACTCTCAGCACCTTTGAACCACAAATCCCAGATTCCCTGGGGGAAGCAATGGCAGTGCAAAGTGATAGAATACTGCTTTAAATGGGGTCCATGTGTCCATGCTGTGTGAAAACCTATGGCCAAACCCTTTTCCGTGGCATGTGCACCTGTATCAATCAGAGGGATTTGCTGTGCCAAATTTTAAGTTTTGTCCCATGCACATGTTAAAAATATAGCAGGTACAGTGTCGACAGCTTATCCTTCACAAGATTTCAGTACAGTGGTACCTCAGGTTAAGAACTTAATTTGTTCTGGAGGTCCGTTCTTAACCTGAAACTATTCTTAACCTGAAGCACCACTTTAGCTAATGGGGCCTCCCGCTGCTGCCGGAGCACGATTTCTGTTCTCATCCTGAAGCAAAGTTCTTAACCTGAGGTACTATTTCTGGGTTAGCAGAGTCTGTAACCTGAAGCGTCTGTAACCCGAGGTACCACTGTAATACATTGCCTATCCACAAAGTCCAGCTTCCCATCACAGGCCTGAATACTGAGACCTACCCACATTTTATAAACCCTGACAAAGCAAGCCAAAAAGTTTCAGTCTCAGAGAAACACACATTTGGTAAGGTTTTCTAGAAAGCCACCCGTCGCCTCGTGATACTGATTTTCAGTCTTACAAGAGCTGAGTACAACATAAATCGAAAATGCCTTCCTCCAGTTTCATGGCCATTCTGTTGCATATCATATAAATTCAGGCGTACAACTTATAAAGCACTTTTTTTAAATTTAAAAAGACCTCCTTTGTCAGGGGAACTCTACCGGCTGGCAACTCCATTAATGTTGCCTTGCTTGAGAGTTTCCTTTTGTCTCTGAACAACTGTGTTGTTCAATCCCAAACTAGATTAAGGTGCACACAGCATATCATCCATTTTACATCAAAGTGACAAAGTCTATATGGTACCAATGCTCACAAGCATTTCCAGGCTGCTAGAAACGTGCAACTCTCTTGCTGACTGTAGCTCACAATACTCCACCAGCATTGACAAAATACACATAGCTAGGCATAACCATAGTCATAATTACTAGGGAGTCCAGAAGGATGTAACTACCACTGATGATAGGGGAATAACTCAAATACACCAAATACCACTGGCATAACATTCTGCCACGTTTGATATTCACTCGTAGCCAAACAGAAACATTACAAATAACACTGGTCGGATTTTTCCTGATGGGCCAACATAGTAACCTGCCTTCTTTATCTGTAACCAGGCAGTGCTTCTGGTTATTATTAGTGACAATTTATTTGAGCTATTTTTATCCTTCCCTACATCCTCAGATCACTGTGCAGGTCACAATACAATCGCTAAGTCATGGACGTCTCAGCTGAAAACACAGGTTGCAGGAGGCGACAGGTGGGGGCAATGAAATCAACCTTCGATCTAGGAGGGTGTAGCTGCATCCAATGTCAGTCCTATCCATTAGGCCCTTTGAAATCAGCCAACAAAACTAATTAAGATTTGTTAATTTCAATTAGTTGAATACAGCTGTGTGTGTATCACTCTAACAGCACAATCCTGTGCATATTTTCTAATGAGCGGCGCTTTTTTAAAGGGGAAAAGGTACCAGTACTCACTATGAAGTTGTCACAGTAAGTGCCACACTTTTAACATGGGGGGGGGTTACCCTTGAGTACTGCCAGAAAAAAGGATTGCTAATGAGTAAGCTTGCCTGTGTTCAACAGGGCTAACTTCCTAAGTGTGCCTAGGATGACAGCTATGACTTACCTGGGACAGCCCCCATGGAACGCAGAGAGAAAGTTCTGATTAAATATTGTTATTGTTATCTATCTAGTGCCATTAGAAACTACCGGTACTGTATTCCGAACTTTAAAAAATGGAAAGCGTAGTGCTGGTGGTCAACAAAAGAGGTTTAAAGACTCTCTCAAGGGAAATCTAAAAAAATGTAGTATATACACCGACAACTGGGAAACACTGGCCTACGAGCGCTCCAGTTGGAGAACAGCTTTACCAAAGGTGTCATGGGCTTTGAAGACACTCGAACCCAGGACGAAAGGGAGAATCGTGCTAAGAGGAAGGCATGCTCACCGTGATCAACTCCCACCCAGAAACCTATGTCCCCACTGTGGAAGGACATGTGGATCCAGAATTGTCCTCCACAGTCACTTACGGACTCACTGTTAAAACCATGTTCATGGAAGACAATCTTACTTGGCGACGAGGGATCGGCAAAGAAGAAGAGATGGCGCCATTAGTGTGAATGGTGCTTCCTAGAGTACAAGGGGGAGGGGGTCCCTGTCTCAGAGAGCTTACAATCCAAAATGTGACACAGGGAAAGGAAGCGCAAGGATAAGGATGCATAGGTTGGGGTAAACGGGCAAAGTGCGCTGGACAAAGGCCGTAGCTTAGCAGCACAGCACATGTCTTGGCATGCAAAAGAGGGAAATCCATTGACACTGAACTGAGAATAATAAACCCAACTGAACTTGGCAAGGGGGGGCTACCTCCAAGTACACATGCATAGGGCCCCCCCACACACAATATACTACTTCAAAGGCATTAAATACCCAACCGAAACCAGTGGTGGAATCGAAGAACCTGCGGCCTTTCAGCTGGCGGTTGTGCTATAGCTCCCCAACCATCAGTCATGCTGATGGGAGTTCAGCGGCATGTGGTCAGTGAACTAGGGTGCAGCAGTGAGTTCCGCAGGCTTAGGTTAGAAGGTCAAACAAGACTACAGCCATGAAATTGAAGCAAACCAGCAGCCAGAAGACCTGATCTTTATTGATGTAACAAAACTTGTTACAAGGGGGACTAGGCTAGTCCCCCTAAATGTTCCCCCTGGCACCTCCTTCCCAAGCCTGGGAAGCTTCTGCCTGGCTCAGGGAGGGAGCTGCGATGCTCACGCAAACAACTCCCTGCCCCCCAAATCGCCTTCGCAAGCTGGCGTCTCTGGCTCTGTCTCCCTATAACAACAAAAAATCGCCACACATCACTGTGGGAGTTGGGGTCCAGCAACTTCTGGAGGGAAGCACATTCTTCACCCCGGTTTGGTGCAACTAAGAGACATCCTTTCACACACACACACCCCTTTCTTTGTCGCCGGACTTTCTTACTTTATTCTGGGCATCTGCAGAGAAAACGGAGCCAAACCGTTCCTCCATGCCTCTGCTCCAAGCATCACACACTCACTCATACCAATGGCATTTCCTAAACTCTGCCCACTGAGCGCATTTGTGTACACGAGCACTATAGTTACCGCAAACACGAGCTTTCGGAACAGAGGCGGTGCCCACAGATCCATTGCCGCAACGCATGGCTTTTCAACCGGCGCTGACCACGTGCCTGCAGAGCAGCAGTCTCCAGCCCCGGACATGTGTGCGCATGCAAGCACTCCTATAAACCACACACACAACTTAGGCAATCCATAAATGGTCACGAAGGCCCTAACCAGAGCCTCAAGGCCCTTATATTTTCATAAGCATCCAACAAGAAACAGATGATCTTGTGGGAACAAGTTGTTGGGGTTTTCGTCAAAGGAAAAATCCCACCCTTTAGCAAATGAGAGAGAGAGAGAGAGAGAGAGAGAGAGAGAGAAGAGGAGGAGGAGTGTCAGGATTGAAAAACACAGCACACTTTTGTCAGCCCTCCTCTAGGGGGTGGGATTATGTTACCTCCTCCTCCTGCTGAAAGAGAAAGCCCACGCTTTACTTACTTCCTTAGCTCTTGTAAGCAGGCAGCAAATCTGAGAAAAACCTCCTTGGGGGTTTGGGACCCAGAATTCTAGGCATGGTACCCCCACCCACCCCCCAACCCCCAGAACTTAAGCCCCCACCCCTGTCTTCAATGAAGCCTCCACACAGCTGAAGATTGAAGCCTTAATTTTCCTAAATGCTCCTGTCTTAGGGAAAACAGGACAGGGCACACACAAGCAGGAAAAAAAACAGAGGAACAGAGTTCCTCCACAAATGTGCAGAGTGCTTTGCAACCAGCCTCTGTATGAGAAGTCTCCAAGGAAACCTAAGTGGTAGGCAACTCTCGTTTTAAATAACAATTTAAAAATTTGTGTTTTCTTTCTTTTAAACAAACTAGATTGCCCTGTGATTTAAAAAAATAAGCCAGCACAATCGCCTGTATGGTTCCAAGAGAACTCTGCTTGGTAGAGCGAGAACTGGTCCCTGGCATCCAACGTACGATCCCTTCTTGGGATCGAGTCCGCAAAGCGCGTTTGGGCACCCTTCCAAACGCGCCAAGAGACTAAACAACGCTTGCTTGCTCTCCCCCTTCCTTCCTTCCTTCCTTTCTTCCTTCCTTCCTTCTTTCTTTTTTTTAAGGCTCTCTGTTTATCTTGGAGGAGACGCTTCTCCGCCAGACACCAACCCAAACACCCCCCTCCCCTCCGCACAGCTGAACACCTGGGTGCTTTTGGAAATGCGCCCTGGCCGCCTCCCCAGGCCAGCAAAGTGATGCAATCGCGATGCTTATCATTCCGGGTTTTGTTCTGGCTTACTTCTGTCTACATTGGGGAGGCCAGGTTAACAAAAGGCCGTTTCAGACGGGGGGCAGGCAGCCCTCCCCAACACACGCACGCGCGTATACCTCCTTCCCAAACCTCCGTGTTTACTCGCGAGTAGGACCCACTCAAACTCCACGGGGCTTCTCCTCCCATCCTTTGACAGGGATGCAGCCCGGGGCTACCATCCTGACACAGACTGTCTTAATTTAGTGGGCGCAGCGGGGCTTACTCCCGAGTAAACATGCCTCTGGTAAGTTGCAGGGAGGGAGGGGAAGTCATATGTGTGTGTGTGTGTGTGTGTGTGTGTGTGTGTGTGTGTGTGTGTGTGTGTAATATCTCTCTCTCAGTATATGGAAACAAACAACCCTCTGACTTTTAGAAGGCAACATCTGAAGGCAACCCTGGTTCAGGGAGGAAAATGATGTCTAATGTTTTACCATTTTTAATGTGCTCTAAGCCGCCCAGAGTGAAACCCAGCCAGATGGGCGGGGTATAAATAATAAAATTATTTATTTTCTGTGAACCGCCCTGAGACCTCCGGGTCTAGGGCGGTATATAAATTCAAATTAATAATAACAATAATAATAATAATAACAATAATAATAATAATAATAATGCCACGATCCCCCATGTATGAGCGAGTTGAGATTCCTTCATTGCACGGCGTTGGACTAGATGAACCCGGCACCTCTTCCCAACTCTACAATTTTACGCTTCCAGCGCGCCTTCAAAGGGCTGGTTTGAGGCAGCCGCCGTTTCTCCATCGCTGGAAAGCGGGCTTAAATCTTGCGCGGAGAGGAGCCGATCTTACCTGGAGCTGCCGGGGTCGGACTCCGTCGCTCCCCGCAGGTAAGGCTGCCCCCCAGAAGCGCATCTTAGTCCCCCGGTAGGGTGGGGAATCGCTCCGGGAGGCTCGGGGCGGGGGAGCAAGTGGTAGCGGACGAGATGGTTTCTCTATTTAAAAAAAGAAAAAAGAAATAGAAAAAGGCAGCCTCGCAGGAGGTAAAAGTTGCAAACGCAGGGCGCACTCGGATCCGAGCCGGCCGAACGAACTCCGGGTGCCTAAAAGAGGCAGGCAGCAAATAGAGGATCCAGATCCGTAGGGAGCGCTGATCCGGACTGATTTCGCTTCTTCTCCTTTTTTAAAAAGGGAAAACTCATATCCGACTTGCCCAGGCCTAAAAACTCTGTCTGGACTTCTTTTTCTCCGCCGTCCCCCGTTGGTTCTCCACGCGCCAACACACAAAAAAACACAAAACCACTTTGCAGAAAGGAAGCGACGAGAGCTTGATCCGGAGCCGCTGCTGCTTCAGTCATCTGAAAGGATCTCTGTGTGCGTGTGTCTCTCCGGTCCCTCCCCGCCTCGCGGGAGGAGGAAAGGAGCGAAGGGGAGTCCGGAGGATGAGGGCGCGCGAGGGAGAAGGGAGGAGCCGGAGAGGCAGAAATGTGATGGCAACCTTCCGCGTAATCCGGATTCGGGACGAGCCGAGCCAATCGGATCCCACGCGGAGAGGTTGCATCAACAGGCGGAAAAGAAAGAGGCTAGAAAGTTCGCAAAGACAGAAAAGAAGCCAGTAAGGTAAAGAGCATGCGCGTGGAGCCAAGTCCTGTGCATCTTCATCATCATCTTATTCTTATTACCTTTTACCCTTTTTGAATTACTTGTTGTTGTTGCTCATTCAATTCCTTTCAACAAGGAGCTCATAGAATCATGGAGCTAGAAGGGGCATCATATTCTAGCCCAACCTCCAGAATGCAAGAATCACAGCTCAACTCGAAGGAACATACACAGGCCCCCCAACCCTGCCAGGTAGCCAGTTCTTGGAATGGGAGAAAAAAGGCCCAGCTGTCTCCCCACCCTTTAGGTTTTGGAAAGCAGGAGCCAAGACTGTGATCCTAACCAGCTGGAAGTAGTGCTACTGAATTCAGTGGGGTCTGTGGGTTAAACCACAGAGCCTAGGACTTGCCGATCAGAAGGTCGGCGGTTCGAATCCCCGCGACGGGATGAGCTCCCGTTGCTCGGTCCCTGCTCCTGCCAACCTAACAGTTCAAAAGCACAAAGTGCAAGTAGATGAATAGGTACCGCTCTGGCGGGAAGGTAAACAGCGTTTCCGTGCGCTGCTCTGGTTCGCCAGAAGCGGCTTAGTCATGCTGGCCACATGACCCAGAAGCTGTACGCCGGCTCCCTCGGCCAATAAAGTGAGATGGGCGCCACAACCCCAGAGTCATCCGCGACTGGACCTAATGGTCAGGGGTCCCTTTACCTTTACCTTACTCTCAAGGAAGCAGGGTTCCTGTCCTGTGATATAGGTACTGGAGGTCATGGGCATAGCCAGGGGGGCAAGCTGCTCCCCCCTCAAAAAAAAAAACCAAGTAAATAAATACAAATACTTAACTAAAAGTAGAAATTGTAGGAAGATTTTGACAGGTTTTTCTGAGCACTCGGGGTCAAAAGAAAGTAATTTAAAGCAACTGTGGTTGAGACATTTTATTCTGAATCTGCTAGGCAGATGATGGCAGATGGGTGTCCTGCCCCCCCAAAAAAAAATCCTGACTGTATCTAAGCAGGTCTCCCTACTCTGAGGCTGCAGTCCTTGTTAGTTCCTCCTGGGAGTAAGCCCCACTGAAGACAATGAGACATTGTAACACTGTAACACTGTAACACCTCAGGTCCCAAAGCAGACCATAGAGGGTCGAATCTCACCTTAATTTCCAGATATGCATGTGCAAGGTCACAGCTTTATATCGCAGTTTGCCAGTTGGGAGTTCACAACCAACCCCAGCAAAAGTTTGCAAAACATGGGTTAGAATGACATCAGAATTCAGTTGTTACAGCTTTAAGAACACCTCCCCATTAAGGAGGGTCAGAACATAAGTACAGCAACTGTCTGACAATTAAAAGAACATGGGGGAACACTATCCCTTAAATTCCTCTTTGAAAATTCCCCCAGAGTCCTCCCTCCTGAGAAGTCATTGCCTGTTCTACATCATCACATATTTCTAGACGATCAGTTGATTGTGTAATAAGTGTATATTTGTCCTTGCGTCTTATCTATTTCTTAAAAATAGGTCTATCCTGCCTTTCCATCCTAAAGGAAGAAAGCCACAGGCGATAACATCTGACATCAAGACAATAAAACACGAACTATAAAAACAGAAGCCAGGAATTAACCACTGACAGCATTGCCCATTAAATTGAAGAAGAGTTTGGATTTGATATCGCGCTTTATCCCTACCCGAAGGAGTCTCAAAGTGGCTAACAATCTCCTTTCCCTTCCTCCCCCACAACAAACACTCTGTGAGGTGAGTGAGGCTGAGAGACTTCAGAGAAGTGTGATTTATTGGGAAAACCAATTTGACGTTTCGCGACTTTCTGACTAGTTGCAGGACCTTACCCAGACCTAGCAGAGTAAACGCAGAATCCACGGAAGCAATTGGTACCTTGGCTGCAGACAGGATAGACGAAGCAGGAAGCAGGAACTTGTAGTTAGGTGTTCATTATATCCAGTGGACTATTTACAGGAACAGAACACGGATCTTTAGCTAGCTCTCTCTCACACAACTCACAACTCCTACACTGACACAGAACTCTGAACTCACAAACCCTGAACTAACACATTCCAGTTAGTGGGCCATTAATTATCACTCCCTTGAGAGAGCTTGACCAGTCAGAGAGCTGTCTCCATGCCTCTGTTATCACCAGGCAGACTTACGGTACTCCTTCACACGACCTTCTGGCTGCCTGCCAAACCTTAATTGACTCTGTGTGAGTAGCTGCACGTACACAGTTTCCCAAGACCCCCTCACAGCTCTCACACAGTGCAATTAACTTCTGAGCACATACAGAGTATTTTACCCAACTTTGTTCTGCAAACCCAAGCTTTCACACATTTGCTTGTTCTTTACAAACGACAACGGTTTTGTAAATATGTCAGCAACATTTTCAGCACTCTGAACATATTCACATGCAATGACATTTCTCTGCACATTACATAACACATTTTGGTATTTTATGGCCACATGTTTAGATCTGGATTGGCAAACTGCATGGCAGTGGAGTGTGGATCTGGGCCTCCTCTGACAAGCAATGCATGATAGCAGCAGGTTCATATTGAGGGCAGAGAGGCGGTGCTTTCAATAACCACATCCAAACTCTTAGAACTTGAAGGGTCAAAATGAGTCCTTTGAATTGTCCAGGAAAGGGAGTACTGTAATTTTTAAACCCAAGGGCCACATTGCTTTCTGGGAAACCTGCCAGGGGCCACGTGCCCGTGGTGCACAGAGCCAGAAGCAAAAGTGGGTAGAGGAACAGATATGAGTTTTACTTGAGATCCTGAGGCTCAGGTGTTCTACAGGCACTCAGGCACCCCTCTCTGTCACCCAGCCAGGCAAGCCAGAGTCATTGTCGGAGTTCAAGGGAACCTTCCAGCCAGCCACAAATATCCAAAGAGGGTGGGAAGTAAGGCCAATGAGGGATGTATTGAGAGTTTGAAGGACCAGACAGAGATTCCCAGAGGGCCACATTGGCTTCCTGCTTTGAGGTTCTGCCTGCAGCTGCCTTTCAGAGACATACCACTTCCAGTAGCCTAATCCTCTATAATTCTGCCTAATCTCTTTTTAAAGCTCCATCATTGCATCCCTTTGGAGAGAATTCCATATTCCGCAGTGCACTAATGTGCAGTCCTTTCTTTGGCCTCTCCTGCATCTCCTACCCTTCAGCTACATTGAGAGACCCTTGGTTCTAATATTATGAGGAAAAGATAAAAACTTCCCTCTATGCCCTTTCTCCACCCCACACACGATTGATTGATTGATTGATTGATTGATTGATTGATTGATTGATTTGATCCTGGTTATGAATCACTTTCCACAGAATAACCTGAAGGGATTCACAGTAAAAACATCAGCAGTTAGAAACAACTCCATATACGCAAACTATTGAAACAATTTCATATGTGAAAACGATTGCAAGT